GGGAACTTACCTGCGGAACAAGGTGAAAGAGAGAGGACGAAGAGAGGGAGCCGACAGCCAGCCCGATGAGCGACGTCAAGAGTTGTTTGTAGTACCATTTTTGCATGAGCGGCATCACACTCACGCCCAGCAGAGAGCATAAACTGATCGCCGAAACGAACAGAAGACCAAATCCCCATACTGCAACACCAATTCATATCTAATTACAATCGTTAAATCAGTAAAATACTGTAATTCCCTCAGAAAATCCACCAGACCCCAAGCCGAATGTGACCGCTTAGGGGAAGGAAGACCTCGGTCCATAAAAACTCAAAATTGACTACAGAGAATAGACCACTAGACATAGACAAGGTACGAATTAAAGCATTCTGATACATTTCTTCAATCAAAATTCACGATTCATACAGCGAAAATTACTGAAATTGACTCCTAACGAAGACATTAAATGTTTCTTGATGCATGAATTCAAACCTCCCGCTCTGAAAACGCAATGGTCCACGAGAGGCAAATCGCGCACTGAACGTTACGACAGTCTCCGCGATATGAAAATCTGGCAACCTCGATCTTGATACTTTGGCTCAGCTATAGCAAATTGTTCACACTTTGAACAATAAAGGGAGGGAAAGGAACAAAGATCGATTGAGAGGCTTGCCTAACCGCTGTGAGGCGCGATTCGACTCACGTGGAGTATTGTGTTTCTTGTGCCCGGGCAATTCAAATTTCCCTTGCACAATGTGCACAACCACACACCCTCATAAAAAAAAAAAAAAAAAAAAAAAAAAAAAAAAGTTAATTAAAAACGTTAATATCTTAGTTAGGAGTGGATTCCAGTAATTTTTGATGCAAGAATAGTAGTCTATGTGAAATTCTGATCATGGAACATATATTGGAATGCTAAAATTCGTACCTTGTCTAGTGGTCCATTGTTTAGCAAACAATGGGCCACTAGACAGGTCTGAAGTAGAGGAAAATCACATGTTTTCTCTTCAAAATCTTACATAGAACACATTTCACACAACGGGAAGTTTTAAATTCAACTCCTTAACGAGTGATTGACAAGTCTTTTAAACACAGATCAAATGGAAGTTCGATTATACAAACGATGCCATTTGATCTTGAGCGACTATTTTGACTTTTTGGAGACTTCATGGTTTAAAAGGAATGAAAAACAATAACTTCGACTGCTAATTCGTGATCCCCCCAGCAGTCTTATTAATACATTGAAAATTCATAGCAACGCAGTCTCCGGCATAGTATGCTTCAACCACGAGCAACTATTTTAACATGAAGGCTATTTCCATTTAAATCTTCCGTCACATTCATACGGCGCAATGATACAACTATTTGAACCCTCCGGAATGCGTGAGGTATCATGCCGCATTTAAAGGCGTTTTCAAAACAGCCAAGTTCCGATACCCGGATTATCGTTTTGCATAGATCATATTATTTAGTTATATTCCGTGCCACTTGTTTATTTTTAATCCTCGTAGAAAAACCACCCATTTGCTAAATACAATTCTAGCTGGAGCGCACTTCAGCTATGCATTCACCACTGCAAAAATGTCAAAGGAAATCGACACGCCCAGCGTGCATGGAGGCTGTTTCTATTTAAATCTTCCGTCACATTCTTACGGCGCAATGATACAACTATTTGAACTCTCCGGAATGCGTGAGGTATCACGCCGCATTTGAAGGCGTTTTCAAAACAACCAAGTTCCGTTATCGGAATAATCGTTTTGCATTGTTCATATTATTTTGTTTCCATTTCTAACCACTTGTTTAATTATAATCCTCCTATAAAAACCACCCATTTGCTAAATACAATTCTAGCTGAAGCGCACTTGAGCGCATTCATGACTGCAAAAATGTTAACGGAAATCGAAAAGGCCAGCGTGCATGAAGGCTATTTCAATTGTAATCTTCCGTCACATTCTTACGGCGCAATGATACAACTATTTGAACTCTCCAGAATGCATGAGGTATCACGCCGCATTTGAAGGCGTTCTCAAATCAGCCAAGTTCAGATACCCGGATTATCGTTTTGCATAGTTCATAGTATTTTGTTTTCATTTCTAACCAATTGTTTATTTATAATCCTCGTAGAAAAACCACCTATTTGCTATATACAATTCTAGTTGTAGCGCACTTCAGCTATGCATTCACCACTGCAAAAATGTCAAAGGAAATCGACAAGCCCAGCGTGCATGAAGGATTTTTAACTTCCTGCAAATTGAAGTGTATATGCAACGAAAATAAGGAGTTGCAGTGAGTTCAGTAATTCGTAATTTATAGGTGGTTAATTAAATATGTAAAAAATGAGAAACGAAAAAAAAAGAGAGGAAAAAAACCGATGGAGTCAAATAATTCATCTTTTTTTGTTTGTTTCGTTCTTCTCACTGAGGGAGTTCAAAAAATGTAAAATAAGTGGTTCCTTGAGAATCAACGTCTGGCCAGAGAAGCATTTCTTGGGCTCTAGCAGTGGCGTGACGATGGCAAAACTGCTTTTCCTTCATTCGAATGTACATAAAATAATCGATTCTTGGCGAGGCAGCTTGCCTCCTGAATTTGATATTTGTAATGGATTTAAATGGAGAAGAAACAGTGCTGCCAACTTGCAAAATCGCAACTGTGCCCTAATAATGCTTTACGATTAAAAGGAGGAGTAGGGCATAAAGGAGTCTGCGATATTTCGATATGGAGTCTGCTTGCTTTTTCATTTTTTTCTCGGGACGGCTTGTTCCCGACAGTTATGTCTGTCAGAAAAACGAAAAAAGTCAGGCAATGAAGGGGGGGGGGATTCTTACCTTCTTGGGGTGTCGGTTTTGATGACTTGCCATCGGATGGACTGTTTATGTGATCCGCGTCCTGACTTGAGCGAATGCATTTTGCTAACTGAAACAAGAGCAAAGCGGCAATATGAGTGGGCGGGGTTTATACTATTTCCCAAACAAAATCACTGATTTTTCCCTGAGTGGGAGTAGAAAGATCACGAAAAAGTTATATGTACCACAAAGTAACTGAGCAGAAGACATTCGAAGCAAAGTTCCTCCCTTATGATCTTCCTGCTGGACGTGTAATGAGGCTGTTCATGAAATACATACCTGACGCTAAATTTTGGATTTTCTTATCCCCCCCCCTCGAAGTGTATTTGTGACGTAGATGCCTATATTGTAACACCTAAAAACAAAATCACACTATCAGAATGAAATCAAAATCATCGCATATTTTAATGGTCGCGAGCAATTGAATAAAAGTTTTCTCGCTCAGTTTTTTTAAGTCCGCCCCGATGTCCTAAGATTTTCCTGATAATTCCAGGCCCCTTCAAATCTCAAAGTTTTTCCAACTTTCCAGATGCGTACATAAACCCTAATATTTTCACTCGATTCTTTTCTTTTTTTACGCAACGAAGCCGTCCGAATACGATGAGTGACACATTAAGTTACCACAAACGCAAAAAATTTAAAGCGCTGCGAATTTTTCAATGGTTAGGAGGTCTGGATGCGGCTATTCGTTTACTTGGGGTGTCATATAGGAACAAACATACGCCCTAACGCCAGGAGTAGTGGCGTGGCGTGAACGATCGATTATCGATATTTCCTCATTCGAAGCTATGGAAAAGAATCGATTATGAAGGCGTTCGTTGCGAACACCCTGTTTATCGAGCCTTTCTGATGGGTTTAAATGGCAGATCAATCGATAAATCGCAAAGCACGCCACGCCACTGGCTAGAAGAGCGACGATTTTGGTGCACGTGCCACGCTGACTCATCGAAACACAACTTTCCCGAATCAACCGGCGAGCTTTCGTTTCGGTAGACGACCGCTCACAACTTTCCGTCGGCTTTCAAGGTCACCCTAATCAGCAAAGGGGGTGGGGCGAGCGACGAAAAGATAACGCGGATTATTCCGTGCCAAGTGAGAAAAAATTGACCCCATCAGAATTTGATGGAGCTGGGCCCGTATCTGCCGCCTCCTCCAAAGTTAATTGGACCGGGTTTGGCAGAAAGGAATCAAGTCACATCAGCTATTCCCCAATTTGACTGAACAATTTAATTTTATACGAGAGAACGTTTGTTCGTACGATTCCTTCGAAAATTTTAAAGGGTCTGCTTCGTACTATACAGAAAATTCACTGAAATCACAAACAACACAACACATTCGCAGAACCGGTTTCAAGTAAAAAATTAAATAGCCTGATTTTTGGCAATAGCTGTTGTGGCTGGGTTCCTTACTGCTTAACGCTGTCCAAAAAGCACTCTACTGAATATTTTTTCATTTTTTTCTGTTAATTAACGTGGGGAATAGGGACCTCTATTTCTGTGGATGGACATGAATGGACTTTCTTTTCCGATAAGGAACTACGATTTCTGGCTCTTCCATAAAATCATCTACTTGCATAGGGCAACTAGTGGCACTGTTTTTAAAATGAGCCAGAAATCATAGCTTTTTATTGCAAAATGTAGCCCGAATAGGGGGGGAGGGGTAATTTTGAGGAGATTCTGAAGTAAGCTAATAAGGACTGACGCTTATTGCTTTCCCGGTTAGCGCTTCTCTTGGCCATATTAAAATCATAATTTTATGCCCGGTGTTGTTGAGATCAGGGCGACCGACAGTTCGCATTTGTTCACATTACTGTTTTGCACGGAGAAAAAACTTCGCGCATGGAACCCGAAGTTGAGGTCATGTGGATCTCTGAAGTTTTCGGATCACGCATCCAAAAACTTGAGGTCCAACCGCCGAAGTTCGGGTCAGACATCCGAATTACTTCGGTAAGTACCGGAGTACTCAGATGTGTGACCCGAACCCTTCGGTATATATCGAAGTACTCCAGATGTCTGACCCGAACTTCGGCAGCTGGACCTCAAGTTTTTAGATACGTGATCCGAAAACTTCAAAGATCCATACGACCTCAACTTCGGGTCCCATGCACGAAGTTTTTTTCTTCGTGTGAGAAGAAAGAACACAGTTTTCCAAGAATTGGCAGCGTTGCACGTCGGTGAGCGGTTGATATTAAATCAAACGGACCCATCTACATTGTGACGTGGACCCTAAGACCTATAAGAAAATAGGCATTACAGGGCTCATGTCACAATTTTATATTCGGTTTAACCCCTTTCATTCATAACTAGGCGCCACAATGAGATGCAATCCAACAATTTTATCGAGTGATAAGCGACATAACGGTGAGCTTATCAAGTCAACGTAAACGAGCTTGGAGTAGAGAGGCTGCGTGGCGCGGCATGGAGATAAAATAATATGTAGGCTCCGGATAAAGACCGGGAAGTAATGTCCGGTTGGCGGCTGTGCCCGCGTGTCAAAGCATGGGGCCTGTTACAAACCTCAGCTATACCTAAAGCAAACAAAAAGAGTTATTTCGTTAAAAAAAAAGAAAAAAAAAGAGCTCACGATGAGCACATTCAGAAAGTCTTCAATACACTCCCAACTTCATAATTCGCGTAAGAAATATGCGTTTTTTAAAAGCTTCTCGCATCAAAAACGAGACTACGGCACTGGTGAACATTTTTGTCGCTGAAAAAAAAGTTACGGGCTATACAGACATACCGCCCGTTCTGGGCTCAGAGGCCTGAATTCCCGGAGGCTGGAGCCGTGGCTTCGACTGCGCCAGGTGCTACACCCGGATCTTTCGCCCTCTGAGCCCTTCCGCACTAGGATGCCACACAATATTCAACATGGCTGACGCTTCCACCTGAAAATCGCATAGAGTACATAGAGTCGTAAGGTAAGTGGATGAGCTGGCGCCACTTTTAAGCATTTTCCAGGTCCCGAATTACGAGACTCCTGTGTGACGCCGGGTCACTTTTTCGATATTTAATCGATTGTTTGCGATACACGGGTACCCGGCCATCCGATGTAAACAAAGAGGATAGGAATCACCACGTATTCCATACCGCCATTTTGGATCGAAAATGTATCGAAAAAGTGACCCGAACTCGGCGCACACCGGGCTCGGGTCTCGTCGAGCAGAATACGGCGCCAGCTCTCCCATTTACATTACGACTCTATGTGCTCTATGGAAAATCGTGAGGAAGCACCATGGTCTTTATCAACGCAAGGAAAGTGTAAATATAAACACGCCGGTTGATAAAATCCCGTCTCGTCGCGTGTGTTTTGGCGGGTTGGCGTCCGCCATGTTATTGAATATTGCGTAGTATCCCAGTTCGCGAGGGTTAGATGGAGCGACTCTTCTTACGAGATGTTCACCAGTGGCGTGGCGTGCTTCGCGATATATCGATTGTTGTTCCATTTAAACTCATGAAAAAGGATCGATAAACAGGGTGTCCGCAGCGAACACCTTAATAATCTATTCTTTGCCATAGGTTTAAATGGCATAACAATCGATGTATCGCAAAGCACGCCACGCCACTGATGTTCACCTGTGCCGTGGTATCGTTTTTAAAGCGGGAAGCTGTAGAAAACACACATTTCTAATAACGCGGATTAAAAAGACAGCAGCGTATTTCAGGCTTTTCCGATGCGCTGATCGTGATTTTTGACCCATATTCTGTAATAAATAACTCTTCTTTTTGTTCTAGCTGAAGTTTACAAGGGGCACATTGGAATAAATTAAGAAGAAAAAAAATGACGGCATGAACTTAGCAACGTCAGAAACAACCGAATTGAGCTTCGACAGGCGTTGAAACATCCTTGAACTTGACATTAATTCCTCGGAAACTGCATGACATTTACATGTTGACAAGCAGCATCGCTACATGCTACGATACGCTCAAATCAGAATGGAAGATTCGAGTGTCGCAACGTATTAATGCCGTTTTAGGGATGCAAATTGTCAATCTCTCTTTGCTTGACTACCATCATCAGAGTTTAAACTTTGAGAGCTTTGAGTGAGATCGGATGCTGTTTTTGGACCGACCAGTCTGATGGAATCATTTTCCCCGTCAAATTTTGCTTGCAATCCATTTCCTTTTTTTCTTTTTCTTTTTATTTGAAATCGGAGATGCCCGCATTTCTAGGATCTTTACTTCTGCACAAGAAGCGTTTTACACGCTCTTTTTTTTTTATCGAAACAAGGTAACAGAAAAAACCAAGTCGCATCAGCGGCAATTGTACAAGTTGGCAATACTATTTTTCTTCCATTTAAATTCATTAAAAATATTGATTTCAGGCGAGGCAGAGGTTTGAAGTTTAATTTTTCTTTAAGATTCAATCTTAAGGACAAATTTTAACGACTATTTTCACGTTTAAAATGTACATTTTCTCGACTTTAAATTAATGAAAGGATTAGATTTTTCTTCTGATCACGAAAACATTAAATTATTCGACACAAATTAAAAAATGTACACATGTATAGCATTAGAATCATTGCGACAGAATTACTTCAAGCCACTGCAATAAATTGGCGCAAGCAATATTCTATTGATGAGTGCTGTTGAGTAATTGACAATTAATCAACGCGATGGTAAAAAAGAAGAGATTCTACTTATTCAGCGATTTGGTCTCAGATAAAAAATTATGCGTTGGATGATAGAATTTACACATGAAAATCCATACAAAAGAGCAACGCTGAAAAACTAATCGTCGATCAGTAATTCGAAGGTCACTCATTCTGCTCCTGATAATTTTTTGCGCCTTTTATTTTTAATCATCGGTGTGTATTAAAATGTAACATGCCCATTTTCTGATACGCGTACATCTTTATGTACCTCAGAGCTCATTAGAAAATGGACATATTGGGTTTTAACACAATTTCATTTCCTCGCATCGCTAAACCGTAACGGATTATCTTCGGTAAATACAATATGTATTTATAAAAAATAGCGTTTATTTACAGTACTTAGAGAGGTCGACAGTTTCCATATCTTTCCTCGTTTCTGGTTAAAAACGACAGGCATAAGAATAACAAACATACTCATA